GGCTGGTGCCTCACGGTGTGGTGGTCCGCGACCTGGGTCGGAGCGTACCTTTCCCATGGGCAAGAAGTGCGTTTGCTCTGACGCGTGACCCTGTCGCCTTAAAAAGTGTTTAATTACCTGTGCTGAAACAAACTGCTCTCGATTCCAGGCGCTTGCAGAGAAATCCAGTGGTTCTGCTGAAGTTTTCTTGCTTGGAACTGTGCTTGCCTGCTGATCCAGAGAGATCTCGTATTAGCTGTGGTAAGCTTATTCAGAGCTTTTCTGAAAGAAAGTCTTTGATGTAGCAGAACTAAACTATGTCCTGAAAACAGCCAGGAGATACTTAAGAATGAGGATTAGTTCAAATAGCTGTTGTCTTGGCAATGGTATTGAACAGATACTGTGTTAATTGCTGCTGAGCAGTCAGTAACTTGGTTTTAGGTAGGTGGTGCTTTCATGTGGAGTACCGTGACACTTGTCATAGAAGCATGTTCAACTTCTAACTTCTAGAACCCTTTAACGGATGATTAAAATAGTTACTTTTGGATAACATCAGTAGTACTTCTAGTACTGCAACTCTTTCTTGGAGCAACTACTGTCAGTGCAGTATGGTGTGTGGGTTTGTAGACAGGTTCTGTCTGTTCGTGTAGTTTGGTGCGTTTTGCCCGCCTCCTCCTTTACAAGCATCACTTCATAATGCGTGCATGCTGGGACAGGTAAGAAGTCTTCCTAAGCGAGTATCATCCTTTACTACAGGAATGTAGTTTTCATTGCTAGAGAGAGGTCTCTTGAAATACTAGCCAGTGTAGCTAGCTTTTTACTAACCTTACTATTTGTCATGAATATGTAACCAGTCTTCCTATGTAACCGGTAGGTGCTGACTCAGAGCCTTAATATTTATTTGGGCAGTGCCAGTATTGCTTCTGCTGCTTGTCAAGCTGCAGCGTAGTGAAAACCAGCCATGTTCTGCTTAGTGTGTATTGTTGCCGTTCTGGTCTGTGTACATGGCAGGAGGCCTCAGCAGGAGAAGAAATCAAAGTAAAAGCAAATGGATCTTACAGTGCTGCCTCCTGGTCAGGGATGACACTTTAGGTCTTTGTAGACTGCTTTGTGAGAAAAGCGTCTTTTTTTGCTTGGACTCTTTCCTAGCAGTTGGGTAAAGTTGGTAGTTTGTATATCAGTAGTTAGGTGGCCTTTCATGGTTAAATGTTCTGCAAAACTCTATTAAGCAGGTGTGCAGGCAGAAGGGTAACCTGTGCTCTCTGTGTTGAAAACAACCCCTGTGTGAAGACAAATGCTCTAGTATCATGAGAAGATCATTCTGGGGTAGGTCTCAGAAGAAGATGAATAGCATTGAGATGCTCTGCTTTTTTTATACCTTCTTAAAGGATAAGATTCAATTAGCAGTCAAGTACTGCTCCAGTAGTCCTAATAAGTTCAACGGAAGTGCCTTGCAGTCACATCTTGGCTGTGTAGTAGGCACTAAATATTGTTCTTGTGTTGTTTTCTCATGATATACCAGTGACTGTAGAGCCTAGCATACAAACCTTTCAACAGCACAAGCCATAAAGATGAGCTGGGAAAGGCGGTTTAACCTATGTCAGCTGATTAACTGAATAAGGCAATGATGGCGACGCCACTGAACGGATGTCTGTTCTCTTAAGGTACTAGTAGCTTTGCATATAGGCAGCACAATTCATATAGTTTAACCTGCTAGTAGGATCTTTTGTGGCTATTAAATGCAAATGAAACTACTAAGCTTTTACCTCAGTGCCGATGATCTGGCTTGGTACCTCAAAACTGGTGGGTAGGGATTTTTGGATCTCTTTTGGTGGTGAGTCATGTGACCAAATAAATTCTTGTCTGCAAGGGAGTACAGTGTTTGTAAGCATGTAGCATTTGAGTGTCTGTGCAGTGATTTCTTTCAGTACTCTCAAACTTCTGTTGGTGGTTGCTCATCTCTGCTATAGAGCAAATCCAGTTGCTTAAAACATTATATTCAAGAATATGTTAACTTCTGTTAAAAGCCCCCTTGCTGCCAGCTTCATTGAGGCACTTCATTTAGCTTGTTAGCTAAAACTTTAGGTTCTGTATCACTTGTCTGATGAGTAACTGCACACAGATTCACTTTCTAGTCCCAATTGTAGGAACATTTTCATGCGAATGATCCTTCTATGACTAATAGCCAGACAGTCATTCTTCTGCATCATTGCATGCTTCAAGCTTACAAAGTGTATTTGAAATGGAAGGCTTGGCCTAAGCAGCAAAGTCTTTGGGGACTAAACCAGCGAAGCGGACAGATCTTCTTTAGCCATTGTACTATGGATGTCACTCGAATGCTAATGTTAGCTTTAAGAGTACAAACAAACCAGGGATTTTAACCTAATGACTATTTGGGGGGAAAAGTCTTGAGAGTAATTTTACATGGAAAGCTGAATCACTGTGTATCTTAAGCTGTTTAAGATTCTGCTCATGCACTTAACTGGCCTTGCTGCATACAAGAGTTGTGCGTTTGGATCAGCTTCTTGGTTCTCTTCCCAAGTAGTCTTTTTCTTCCTTCTCATCAATATCAAATGAAAACTGCAGGTTCTTAATGTTTTGAAAGTGTGTTGTTATTCATACCTGCTGTGTATGTGGGATGTTGACAAATTACATGGAGTAATGATAGGAGTATGCTTATCTGAGATATTTCAGAGGTTGCTAAAGAAATACTGTGTGGGAGGGGGTGAAAATGAAGGATGAGCTTTGCTTTTTTTTTTCTTCCCCATTCTGGATGGGTAAGCCAGCAAAATGGGCTCTAAATATCCTCTTACCTTTTGTCTGTATGATTCTCAGTCCTGCATTCTGTGTCCCTCTGAAATGGTATTGCTCAGTTTCAGAGAAAGCATGACAGACTGATAATACACTAACATATTTGATTTTGATCTTTCTCTAGACACTGATAGAACTGATTTGCTGAGGAAAATTATACTTGCCCTAGGAACAACACTGTTCTGTGTTGCCTCAGACAAGTGGATAGACTTCTGTTTGAAAGAGAAGGTAGCTTCAGGGCTCAAAGGATTACTAAAAGGCCATGCACTGTTTTTTTTGTTGTTGTTCCACACACACTCCCCACCCCACCTCCCCTTCCACCCCAGCAGAACTCAAAAGCAGGCACAAAGAAGAGTATTGCCTAACCACTGCTGGAGAAGATATTTTATATCCTGTACCTGTGGTAGATTGCAGGTGACTGATGCAGTCTGTTCTTCTGAAATGTACTAGAAAGGGGTTGCTAAGTCTCTCTGGCAAATTCTTTGCAAATGGATTCCCTCTCTCCCTTTGCCGATGGAGCAAAAAAGGTAGGGGAAAACTCTTCTCTGTATTGCTAGTTCTTTGGCAGTCTGTCCTGTGCGAGGTTTCTGTATCAGTCTTGAATACTAAAAGATCTGTCACTGTTACAGGCTTTTTGTTGCTTACCCAGTGTTCTCACTGTCTCTTTTCTTGCTCGGTGGCTTCTAATCTTTCAGTAGTCGGAGCTCCCTGTGTCTGTTCTAGCTATGAGCAGGTGTGGCGCGATCAGGCTGCCTGTCCAGTGCAGCAGTGTAAACAGTTTGTGGGACCGATCAAAACCTCTGGTAGTATAGGAAAGCTAACTGTGTGAGACCAATAATGTTCTTTGCAATCATTAACTGACCTCAGAAATCTAGATTCTGCAGGGTCTGGGAAACCTAGTGTGTCAGGTGAAGATGCTAAACTGGAGACACTAAATTTGGGCAACCTCTTATTTTGCTGTTGTTTTTAGCAGCAATAAATTGTGTATTACAGCACAGTTTTTTGAGGCTGCTTTTAAAATCACTTCTTGTCACCTCTTAAAAGCAGTATCTTTAGATGGAACATTAAAGTTGGATTTTGTCTGTGCTGAGCTATGCTGCATCTAGGTCTAGTTGTTGTAACAGCATTTTTTTTTTTAAAAATAAGCAAAACAACTTCAGATTGTGGTTCTGTCATTGTGAAAAGATTGGTCAAGACATCACTTAACTGTATTTAGTGAAAGATCTGATAAGTAGCAGTGTTGCTTGCCCAAAAGTCTCAGGCTGTCTGTCTGGTAGAGAGCTGTTAAAAGTAGTGATGATAACAGGTTTTGTTTTCTCCATTCTTTGAAAGATGTAAATGCAGCTTTTTTCTTTGTAGTTTGAAAGCAGTGGTGATAATTAGCTACTTATGTTTTATGTGAACTTCTTTGTTGTACTATTGTGCTGGAAGATAAGGTCAAATCTACAAAGTTATTTCAGTATCTGACTCCCCTTCAAGTCAAGGTTGGAAGAGGTCAGGCATCTGAGTTCAAGAGCTCATTGTATCAGTCTCTGATAGGTATCTGGGGACCTCTATGTGAAGATGGATTCGGTTCTTCAGAGTTGGCAGTCAAAATAAGTCTCAGTTAATTCTGAAGAACTACTTGGACTAAAAGGCATATATTTTTTTTTTTCTTGTTGTCTCTGGAAAGCTTAAGGGGTAAAGGTGAAAACCTTAGGAGGAAAAGTGCTTGTAGCCACACTTAGAATCTAGAAAACCGAGAAGCAAGAAAACGTGGGTATTTTGTCATTTAACTGCTTTGTATGAGGAATTTTAATGCCTCTTAGTGGCATCACTGGATGCTGGACTGAAAACAGCTTGCACATTAAATGCGTTCCACATGAGAAATAATTGTCTTTCTCATACTGGTGTTAATATTTAATAAGGGAAAAAGTGACATAATATTAAGCTGTAACTTATAGATGTGTAAGAGATTGCAAGATTGGTTCTTTCTTATCTTTTTAGAGATGAGTACTGAAGCAGAACAGCAGCTTCTTCATGATGCTAGAAACGGAAATGCTGAAGAAGTTAAACAGCTGTTGGATATCATGAACAAAGGAGAAATAAGCTTTGATATCAACTGTAAAGGTTAGTAGCCTTCCTCAAATGTCTGTAATCTCACTCCTGAAACCACAGGTAGTGAAACTGTTACTGATAGTATAACCTTGCTGTCTTTGAAGTGCTCAATAGAGTAATAAAAAACACTTACAACTGCTTTTACCCTGTGACTCTTAAGGCTATACTTGCCTAGGGGGAACAGATCATAAAAGCAGTTTACAGGTAACTGTAATGTACAGAAAACCTCAGAGTCACAGAATCTAGAAATGTCAACAAGGCAAAGAATCAGTACCTCTTCCTCCCTGTGTTCATGCTTATGCCAACTTTGAAGCTTTATAATATTAAACAAAACAGACCATGGTGCCAGGGAATGGTTCAAAGAGGTAAAGAGTCCCCAACAAGACAGCAGAGAATATTAGGTAGTTTATTTGTGCTCTACTAGGTGTGATTTTTTTAACATTTTTTTTGGCCCATGTTTCACTATCATGCAGTAGGAGCAGCTATATCTCTTGACACTTGCAGGAATGGTTGGAACAACTATGTACTTTTGACTGTTGGCAGTATACTAGGTTACTTGGGGGGGGGTAACTAAAGCTGCCAATGATCTGTATCCTAGCTCTTTGGCCAACATTAAAGTTTTGCACATGCGTAGCTAATATACTTAGAGCTAAGCAACTTGCTGAGCATTAAAACTTCAAACTGGGACTGGATTTGCGACCTTGTTAGCAGTTGCAGATTGCCCTGTTTCTTTTTTCATTTGGTAGCTTTCTATTTCTCTTTATTTACATGGGTGTGCTTCTGGTTGCTTAAAAAAAGTGGATGTTTATCACGTTTCTACGTGGGCTGGTATTTCTTTGTTCAGCATTTAACTGTTAAGCAGTACTAAGAAGTTAGTTCTGCGAAGGGAGAGGGGAGAGAGCAACTATGCTTCCTTTCAGCCAAGGCAGAGGGAACACCTTGCCCTAGAGAGCAGGGAAGCCTGTTATCTGAACAAACTATCCTTTTCCCAACTATAGTTCTTAATCAGCAGTTCACTCATCCTTTTGTTTGACTACCCAGCTGTGTCTGTGTTTTCCTAATAGCTAATGTGCTCGTCTCTGAAGAACAAGTTGTAAAATCCAAACCCTTGATATGTCATCTTCAGGGAGCTAGTTCATAATTTAAAGGGGAACTGGACAGAACTTGATGGAGCTAGAGTCCTCAACCCTCACAAGTATGTCCTTTGCAAATATTCATGACACTGTGTAGTGCCTGAACAGCTGAAATAAAAATACCTTGAGATTCATGAAACAGTACTTGTAAATAAGTCTCTTGTGCTTAGAAGAGATTGTGGAGCTTCTCAGATGTCGTCTTAAGCATAATCTTAAGAAAGCATAATGAAATGGCATAATCTGCAGTCCTGTATTATGTCAAGCAAACTGGTCTCTGGTTGGCATTTCTGCTCAGAAGCAAGTGTCGGTATGGTGAAAGTCTGCAGCTATGTAGAAGAGACTCAACTAAAGAGAGATGGTACTTAGGTGTTATGCTTCCAGTTTAGCAATACATGACTGGCCAGCTAATACATGCTTGCTAGTGGGAGGTCTAGGAAACTAGAGGGAATGTGCTGATGATAGTTCAGGTTAAACAAAATAGTTCTGAATGTGCAATCTATACACAGTGAAGTCTATGTTCTCTAAGTTCTGATTCTTCGAAGTGTTAGAGGATGAAGAAGTGTAACTAAAGTGTTCTCTGGGGGAACTGTTCTGATTGTGTGAAACTTCAGAGTTAAATCTCTGTTCTTTCACAGTCACTCTTCAGAGACTGATTGTTTCAATCACTTTACACCTGTAGAATACTGCATTGGAAACAGTCTAAGACAAATTCAAGCCACCCAGCCTCTGCAGCATAACTAGCCCTGCCATTCTGCTGTCTCACTACCAAAACCACTATGTCTTGCCACAAGTCCTGATCTGTTAGGTACTACCAGATAGTAGTTGCGCAACCACATGATGATTAACTAAAATACAGGCTGTAGACTTTAACTGACTTTTTGCAGCCCTCCAATCTTCCTTCTCTTCTCTACAGCCTCTTGTTCTTCTGTCATTACCTTCTAGATAATCAGATAGCCCTAGAAAGTCAGGTTATGGGGAGTGTCTTCAATGCTGCAGCAGCTTCTTCAGGACTTGCATCTGATGTGGCAATGATACTTGGCTTGGAATAAAGTACTTTCAGAGCAGGTGGGAGGCTGTACTGGAGATAGTGTAAACTTCCCCCAGAGCATGCCTTGGGAGACACAAGTTCAACACATTAATGTGCCTGAGTGTCAAAGCCTACCTTCAACATCTTGTAAAATCTGTCTTGTCTTTCCAAGGGTGAGTTTATATCTGAGACTGCTCTAGATTTACAAGTGTCAAGTCTGACAAGAGTGATCCCAAACATCCTGACTTCAGTCTAAGTGAAGGAAGATTAAAATCCAGGCTTCTTCTACTTGTTCTGTTGTGACTGGATTCTAGCCAGTCAACACTTGCAGATAAGCAAGACTGGCTTGATGAGAATCCAACCAATTGGTGTGACCTTCCATTTCCAGTTTTCTTAGTTCACTGATTTCAAAAGAAGGTAACTACATTAAAACAGCACTAAAGCTGGGTTTAATCCGAAATGATATTTTCAAAGGCTATCTATGTTGGCTTATTCTTCTTATACAAGCAAAAAAGAATATCTAGGACTTTGCAAAGTAAGAAAACTGTAAAATAAGATCAATGGTGAACAATGTGTTATACCAAAATATACATATCAATGACTGCTTAGTAATCTGGCAGACCACAACCAGCAGAGGATTGCCTAGTTTGTCTCCATTCTCTAAACAAATGGTAACAATGGTAATGGTAAGTCTCCAGATTTACAGCTAACTGGCATCAAAGCGAAGACCTGGGTGGGAGGGCTAGGGGAATTATTTTTTTGTTGTGTTTATTCTGTTTTCCTATCCTTGCCTTCTCACTAGTGTAGTCATTACAATTTTAAACCAAACATAAAAGTGCAAACACTTGTGGTCACTTGAAGAGTAGTAATAAAAACCTCAAGAGCTTGAAGTAACTGGTCAGCCAACATCAGAAATGCAAACATTCAGAGCAGATGCAGGACGAGAGCCTCCGGCATTTTATTCAGTAAATCTGGCCAGGTTCATGATTTTTAATGACCACATTACTTGGCAGCAGCACTGTCTTGTCAGTGCTGTAAATAGTGACTATCTTGAGCTAATTGTATGAATTCAGTGCAGCTTGGGCTGCTTTTGTATTCTTTGAAAGAACTTTCTTCCCTACTAGACCAAGAGATGAGTGATATCCATTTAGTACGTTATTGAGCATATGTAGCCCCAGAATTAGTGATCCACACAGTATTTATCTTCTGTGGTACTCAAGCCCATCAGTCATGTAGGGCAGGAGCTCTGTTGTAGGCCAGACTGGGATGAGGGGGAGATGCTAAATGTGCGGTTGGAACAACAGCGGGAGTTGAAGACAGACAAATAACAATAGCCAACAGAGGGTGGAAATATTAGCTGGAAACAATTACAAGAAATGGGAAAACAGCTGTAAACCACATTCTAATGTTAATTTGTAATATGAGAGCAGAAAGAATTATGAACTTGCAAGACCAGAAGTTTTCTTTCTTTGTACTAGTGGCTTGTCCCCTGAGGGTAAACTTGTTATGCATGTTCCAGACTTCTAGGCTTGAGGATACATGAAAAGGGAAAACTTAATGGTGGCAGTAACTTCAAAACCATTTCTGATGCCTTGTTTTTGTTTTGCTTCCAAATACAAAATTATAGCTTTTTGGTGGCACTTAGAATACTGTGGGTCTGTTGCTTGGTAAAAACAAAGCACAAATCAGCTTTGCTTAGTACAATTGAGTGTTGCAGTTGGAGACTAACATGAGTTGTTAAATTGGTGATCTCTAATACTTTTAATATCTTGCTTTTGAAAAAGTGATTGTAGGGCAGTTCTTGAATTTTGTTCATACAGCCAGTCCTCCAGGATGCTTTAAATGCTCTTTACAGCATAAATGATAGTTTCCTTTGCATGGTCACTTCTGCGCCTGCTTTCTGCTTGCACTCATTGTTTCTGCAGAGGCTTGCAGCTGTAGATGGTACACAAGTTCTGCAGTACACAAAGGTTTCAAATCATGATACTTAGTAATGCTGTCTTTATTAAAATTGAGTACAAGCACAAGACAACAAAAAACCCTAACATTAGGCCATCCCACCTGTTTTAACTTCAATCATTGGTTTGGAAAGATGGGTTGTCTTACCCCTCTTCTGTCTGCAGGGTATAATATGCGATAAACCAATCTGTCTTTTGATAAATAAGAGAAGTGTGTACTGGCATGTGCTGTTGTCATAGTGAAAGTAATTGAAGCTTCTTGCTACTGTTGAAGAACAAGGTATTACATGAAAGCAAAAGTTTTATTCTCCATCAGACTACATGACTTCCTTATTTCAGAAAGACTCTGTAGATTTGAATCTAGCACTCTCAGACTGCATCCTGATTTAGTGATTCAGATTATGTGAATGGTATTGATGCTTCCAGCATCCTTGCTCATCTCTTACTGTGAAGAATGATCACTGTGCCAGCCTCCAAGCACATAAGACCTTTTTTGTACTATGTGACCAAAACTTAATTTACCTGTTTTGTCTTTTAGGCAGAAGTAAATCTAATATGGGTTGGACACCTCTTCACCTTGCATGCTACTTCGGACATGCTGTTGTGGTAGAGGATTTGCTGAAGGTATATTTCTATTTGCTTCTGGATATAAGGCAGAAAATTCTTTATGCTAGAAGCAGTATTCAAGTTTTTGTGATAGAAGAAAGGTGGCTTTGTAGAGAGATGGAGCCACTCCTACAGTTCATCTGCATGTAACAGATTAAGCTGATTGTTGAAACTAAGGAGTGAAATAGCGGTGGCATTAAGATCAGCTCAGTTTACAAGGACCAAAATAGTGACACCTGAAGTCTATACAGTAATACACAGCTGTTACTCTGAACAGTGTTTACAGCTATCAGTACTTAGCTAACTTTCTCATGAAGTATGTGTGTTTGTCTACGTAACCATCTGAATATAGGAGTGAAAGACATACAGTATATAGGTACGCACTTGTGAAAGCTTCAGCAGCTCAGTGGATATCTACATATAGTAAGCCAGTATCTGATACTAGAAATGGAAAGGTTTCAAGGACCTGATCTAGCTTACTGTAGTACATGAAGTATACAATTTAGGCAATTTCACTTACTGAGTTGCAGGAAAGGCTGAACTGCTTCAAATGCGAAAAAAAACAAAACCCTGTATTACCGAATTAGATGCTGTGCATAGAAGTGTGTCCAGAATTTGGTAACTTGTATGTGTTTCTTTCCAGGCATGGGCTAATGTAGTTTAACTCATTATTCCTTTCTAACATCTTTGAAATGATGAACCTCTGTGGTCAAAGCAGACCTGTTTGTATCTTCATAGCCACACCTGCATTGCATTTGCAGTTGTTTCTGGCTGAGTTTATTTTTTTTACCCTCAGCTCTCAGAGTAGCTTCAAGCAACCCTAACTGTATTATACCCTATTCCTGTTTGAAAGGTTTTGCTGTAGATGGCAGGAACATACTAAACCAAGACAGCTAATCTAAACTTGAATTTCATTCAGAATAAAGACTACCAGCCATAATCATCACTAAAGCAGGCTACACACCTGCTCAGTAAATAATGCTGTTCTCAGTCCAAGAAGACTACTTAACACAAAAGGTAAAGTTTTGTCACTTAATGCATTTATCAAAACTTCCAAAGTTGGAAGAGGGTGTGTAACTTTATGCTATCTTCTTTGCTGATAGGGCTTTTGAAAGTGTATTATTTAAAGAATGAGTGGAATAATAAAGGAGGCTGTGCACCTCTGAAAGCTAGGCATATACAGGTGTCTCTGTACTTGTGCCTAGATTTTGTGCTCAAAGAGTGAGTGAATGAGATATGAGAAACCGAGCTCTGAAACTAGAGTCAAGTTCATCAGTTAACTTTAGAAAGGCAGCAGTGATCTGACTAAATTATGTGATCTAAATGTGTGTGATAGTCATGTACGTCCTGCTCACTTTTTGAGAAGTTAGGTAAAGTAGTGTAGAAGAAATGCTTAAAGATAAGAAGGGTAAAATTTCTTGGTTTCCTGGGACAATGCCTGTGCAAGCAGTCTTCCTTTCTAAGGCAACATATGGCAGGGAGAAAGTGTGTGACAAGAGGAAGGGAGATTCAAGACAAAGACTGTAGAAGAGAAAAGGGAGAAGAAAGTTTAAGTTTCAGATGGTACTATCTTAATGCTGGCATGGAAGTTCTCACTTCAAGTGAAAGAGCAGCAATAGATGCCAGGAGAGAAGGCCACTTGTTAAATCAGGAGCACGAGGAGTCTGGTGCTATTGCGTGTTCATCTGTTGTGTGTACATGTTACCCAGTACCATTGCAGTTCTTTCAATAAATTGTTTGGTGTTTTGTGGTTTTTATTTGTTTTTTTTTTTCCCCAACAAACCCCCCTCAAATCAACACCACCTCCACCCCCTCTATTATATTTTCTATATACCCTCTTAAAAGTGAGACATGCCTGGAAAAAACACAGGCAGCTTTTCCTTTTTGAAGCAGTTCATAGGATGCTAGTGATGAATCTTACATATGTACTTTATCTTTGTTTCCAGGATGGCTGTGTTAGTTCTGAACTGATTTGCCAGGAGGCCTACAATAGTGTTCTGTCCTTCCCCCAGTCAAAGGGAATAGCTGCATAGTTTTTGTTGGAAGAATATTCAGATGTCTTTTGCTCTTGCTCTTTAGGCTGGTGCCGATGTGAATGTGCTGAATGACATGGGGGACACTCCACTCCATCGTGCAGCTTTCACAGGACGTAAGGTAAAGTATGTTTGCTTTTTTTAACCCTCAATCATAGCATTATTAAGGAAATAGTAGCAATAAGATCACTTCAAAAAGATGTTTTTACAGTGTCTAAAAATGACTTACCTGTTTTGGTTCAGTGTGTTCAAAAGAAGTAGGCATATTGCCTTATTGGAAACCAATGTAAAGATCTCCCATCTACTACTAAAGTATAACAGATTAATTTGTGTTTTGTGCCTAGTGTGTTTGATGCAATAAAAAGAGTAGGGATTGCTTCTCCTAACTAACGGCGTATTTACTTAGAGAGAAGCCATAGTGTTTCAATCTTAGTGGCCTCTGGGGGGTAAAAACTGTAAGTTAGGACACACTGGTCCATTTGGTGTCTGGAAGTGATGCGTTTTTTGTAGAAGACTAGAACTTAAGAGCTTTGCATAGGCCTGTAATGTGAGACTACTTTGATTGTTCTCCACATGCCACCATTGTTCCCAAACTAGTACTACTCATAAGGATAAGCTCTTGACCCTTCTGAAGGAGTGACTACTTAATCTCTTGCCGAAAGAGCCAACATTCACACCAGGTATGCCAGCTTTTAAATCAGAGTGGGTCTTCAGCTATAACTAATTTCCTATTAGTTCCTTCAGCCTGACTGACATGAGAGATTGTTGCAGTTAGTCCCACTCTTCAATCTCTCTAAAACATCCCTTCGTGTTTTTGTAAGTCAGCGGTGGTGAGAAGCTCTTATACAGCTCATCTTAGTGGATGTCAGTAGCTGGAAAGCCTGATTGTGGCCTTGCCTTAACAGAGATAGCAGTGTTTTTCAAATTGTTTTCCAGGAGGTGGTGATGTTACTCTTACAGTATAACGCTGATACTTCTATCGTTAATGGGAGTGGAGAGACTGCAAAAGAAGTTACTCATGATAAAGACATAAGGAATATGTTGGAAGGTAACTTTAATAGGTCATAGCTTGTTTTTTTCAACACTTGTACCTTCTAAAAGCTGATTTTTTTCTCTTGCAAGTTACAGAAGCTCAGTTGAATTTTCTCTTTAAATTTAGTCATTAGAGGGGGGGAAAAAGTTTTTGATTCTTGTCTGCAAGACTGGCAGTTGTTGTTTTCACAATATGTCTGCAAATGACTTGGAGTTGAGTATCAGGAATGCTAATAGCATTATTCAAGTAACTATTTCAATCCTGTTGGGGTAATCCTTGCTATAGATCTGAATGATATGTGATACAAAGTCTTAGCTCACTGGAAGAGGAAAAACTCAAGTCAAGAGCTGAAAAGAACACCACGAAGATCTGATGGCAATGTCACATAGTTCTCCTGTTTTCCCTTTTACTATGGAGTGGAGTTGGCTTGGAAATGCTTAAAAAACAGTAATAACATATGTGTGCATGTGTAAACGCTCATCTTGTCAAATATTATGGTTTTGAACATATTTTTGCTTTGATACAGACTTTTCTGAATCAACACTCCATTTATACCTGTCTCAAATAATACTGGAGACTCTTGTTTTTCTCAGCTTGCTTTGATATAGTTTCTTGAATGCTGTACTTTATAAGTACTTGATACTTTACTGAGACTGACCTTAAATTTTTTTTTTTAAATAGCAGTGGAAAGGACACAAGAAAGGAAACTAGAAGAAGAACTCCTAGGAGCAGCAAGAGAGGGAGAAACAGGGAAACTGACTGCCTTGGTAAGAGTTGAAGTGCTTGTAATACTAGTGTCAAGTGGTTCAAGCCATAATGCTAATGTTACAACATGTGACATTAGGTCTTGCATTTCAAAGTGCTGTGACTTCAGAATGTTAGTGCTGTGCACCCTGTTATGTTGGTAAGGTGCTGAACCCTCAAGGGTTTTTCAGCCTCCTTGTTGGAGGCTGCAGAACAATGGTTTTCAGCTTCTTTCCTGTTTCTAAATACTCTTCACTTAGTTGTAAATAGCAGTGTAATGGTTCTAGATGTACTGACATAAGTTTGTTAGGTATTTGCGGACATTTTAATGTCATGGGTACTTAGGTTTTCACCACAGTATGGCCTATTCTGAATCTTTAAGCTTTTGTCGTCAGCATCTGTTGCAGCTGATGTCTCTGTAGTTTTTAATGGACAGTCATCTATACAACATAATCTCATGCTGAGCAGGACTTGAGAACTGTATATGTGCCTGTGTGCATGCTTCTAGTAATTCAAGTTGAACAATACCGTGGTGCTGTAATGCTATTGGAGAAGCAAATCAAAAAAGAGTTGAGACTGGAGGATACCTCTCGATGATATATTCCAACTCCTGTTTGTAGAGCAGAATCAACTAGAGCAGGTTGCTCAGGACCATATCCAATTGGGTTTTGAAATAGGGTCTTAATGCTTAAATTCAAGCTTTTGTGAGTTCTGAAGATTCCTTGAAAGACAGAAATGTAGTATGGAATGTTTTCTACCTAGTTAGCACTTTTTAAGGCATCAAAGCAGTCAGAATACTTTCACTTTCTTGTACGGGAAAATTCACAAATGTGAGATTTGTATGTTGAGAAATTTAATGTTCTTTACTTTTCTGCCTAGAAGCCAGAGTGAACACCTATTCAAAATTTATTTCCATCCTCTAAATTTCTCTTCTAGTTTGAAGAGCCTTTGTCTAACCACTTCTTGCATGGAAACTGTTTTTAAATCTTTGGTGATTCTTGTCATTCTTATTTTTACTTTTTGTACTCTTTGAAATGGAGAGAGAACCAGAGCTGTACGCAGTACTTAAGATGTGGAAGAGTAGTGCATTAATACACCGGTATGATATGCATGAATGGTAATTAACATACTGGCATAATTGATCTGTTCTTGATTCTGGCAATTGGTAACACTTGTTGCATTTGATGTTGCAGCATGCCTGCTGACTAAGACTTAAACTGATGTGGAAAAAAATTAGAAAAAAGGTGTCTCCTCATAGAAATCTGTCATTACAGAACTGTGCTCTCTCTCATGTGGCATGTAACCATGCATGTACATGTAACTCTTCCTGTAAACGTTTTCATTTCCAAGTGATTTTTTTAATATGTAGTGTCATTGAGCTCTACATAAGTGAGGACAGCTATATGTTGACCTCTAAAACTCTTCAAAGTACTTATCACATTTTTGACTCTGAGGCAATTTTTAAGTCAAGTCATAACAGGTTTTTCTTGGAATCCTTTGGTGTATACTTGGATCTGTGACCATTGAATTACAATTTTTAAAATTCCTGCTAACTCTTAAGGAAATACAAAGAATTTTGTTCACTTGTAGCTCTATAGTGTAAACCTCCTTGACTTTCCTATCCTTAGGTTCATAATTCTGTGGAGAATTTGTGTAGCTCTTCTCAAGAAAAAGGGCAGTTCAGAATTCCTGGTACTTTGCCTGCTGACTTTCAGGCCTTTCTGCTCCTATGGTATCTAATTTAATTAGCAGACTATTATGCTAATGAAACTTCAGCTGCTTACACCTACTTTTATTGTGAGACCTAACACACCAGAATTCTTTCTCTACTGCCCTGCTTTTTGCACTCAAGTAAGAGTGCCACTTACTTGAAAGATACCCCTTTATTGTTAATTCTCCTTTATCTTGACTATTTTTACCGAAAAAAGACTGTACTGTATATTGTAACACAGCTATCTGGGAGAGATAATTTAATGGTGCAGTTTCTCTAAACCTTCAAATTGGAATTCAGACCACTTTTTCTCCTTTTCCTGCTTATGCTTTAACTTCATAACTACTTCTATTGAAGTTTCTTGAAGTCAAGTCGTAGTGGTTGCTTTTGTGCTTCTCTTCTGTCAGGATTCTCAGCAGATCACTATATGTTTTTCTACGAAAAGCTAGACCTTCGGTAGCTGAATCTTAACCCGGACTTTTTAGCCTACTTGAGGTGAAACCAGTGTGTTTGTCCTGTGAGTTCTCAAAAACATACTGTACGTTTACTGAGATGACTGTAGAGCTTTTTATCTCAATGAGTTGATGCATGCAACTTTCTTAAATATTACCCTGATAAAAAGTGGTAAGCTGCTGAAAGCACAGGCATGTGGCTTAGAAGGTGTGGAGGCAAGAAGTCAGGGGAGGCAATATAAAGCAGATGTAAAACAGCTGGTCGATGAGAGCTAAATCCTAGGAATCTTCAGGAAGTCAAGTATTTGACCTCAGTACTAATGAGGTTATACTTCCACAAGCTGTCTGACTTGCGTTCTTTTTTCAGTTGAACTGTAAATAACATCTGTAGCAGCTTGTCCTTTATAGGACTATTTCTGAAGCACATTTAAGGTGGCTGCTGTTGATGCCAACTTAAATTGCTGCCATGGGAATTCTGTTATTATGAAGTAATTTCTCTAAGATAGCACGTGGCTAATGCAGAAAGCTTAAACTGAGTTTTTCTAAAATTGTTGTCATGCACTTACAACTCTAGTCTCCTAAGACTGCTTAACAGTAATTTAGACTTTCTATTAAGGCAGTCCCATTTGGCTTAGGAGCTTAACTATAATGGCTGATATTGCATAGAATGGCTTCGGTTGGTAGAGACCTTTAAAGATCATTTAGTCCAACCTCCATGCACACATCCAATAACCACATATTTCAGTAGATGTGTAGTGGTATTTTAGGGCAGGTAGTAGTGTCATGCTTAATGACTCTCTTTGGAGTCATTTTCTCGAAACATTTGTTACATCCAAGTAAAACTCAGTTTTTTCCTCAGTTACATGGCTGCTCTAATCTTAAGTTCCCACAATAGTTAGACTTCAGAATGCAGCAAAACTGTTTGTATAGCAGACTGTCTATACTAGGAACCTCTAAATGGCCTAAGACAGCTCTGTCACTGAGACTGGCAAGCCTGCCACCCTTTTGTACAAAGCTTTTACTTTCTGAAACAGGGTGGCCACACAAACTCATTCTGGATTTAGACCTGGCATGTGCTAACTTTCAGACAGTGCCTGGGAGTCTTCTATGGACAACAGTAGATTCTGGCAGGAGAATCAAACAGGACCCCGTTAGCAATCAATATAAATGACTGAATTGCAATGCTGGGGAGCTCTCTGGCACTGTGCAATTGAGCAGGATAAACGCTTTCTCTTTGTGCAGAGAGGTGGAAGGGGTATAGCAAGCAGAAAAACTGAGAAGTTCCTTCCTCTAGCTGAAAATCTTGCTTGATTGTTGTAGTTTGTCCTTCTCATAACACTTGCTACCTCCCCTCTGTTGCTACATCTACACTGAAGCATCCTAGTTAGGAACAGCTAACTTTTAAAAGAACAAACATGGCATCTGGAGAGGAAGATTGATAAGTAAGCAGAACTTTTTTTCCAGCTGAACAAGCCCAAACCACCTGATATCAACTGTACAGATCAGATGGGGAACACACCATTGCATTGTGCAGCATACCGTGCCCATAAGCACTGTGCATTGAGACTTCTAAAAAATGGAGCAGATCCTAAAATAAGAAACAAAAATGGTGAGTACCAAATGAAAGTATGTAAAGTGTTAAGAGGAGACAGAAATTTAACAAGTTATGTTACTTACTGCTCAATATTCAGGGAAAATCTTACGGTGCTTTAAAAGCTTTGTATCACTAATAAAGGAAGCTCAACGCTGACTAAATTGCAGGAGACTTAAGAACTGTAGCAAGTGTTCTTGCTCTAAGCAAAATTACTTATATATGCTTTTATTTTTCAAACTTACACATTTCTAGAAAACTTACCTGCTCTCTGTCTTAACTGTGAATTGTGCCTGGCTTTTGGTTTTTTTAATGCTAAACACTGAACACAGCTAACAAAAAAGTGGTAAGATTGAATATGTAGCTTAAAGTGACTCTTCTGAAGAAGGCTTCTAATGAAAGGAAATCAAGGAAAACTTAATACAGATGTTAATGCAAACTGTGTAGTTGTCATCTCATTAAATATGCCTCTGTATTTGTGAGTGTTCTGAACTGTTTCATATAGCTGAAGAGCTAAAAACAAATAAGTAAGAGCAAAAGCCTCTCAGTGGCTAGTAGAACCCTGAAGGACAGTTCAGTGCACTAAAGTTCAGAGCCTTTTTAGTCGTCTTCCCCTGAGGAGCTTATGTTCCTCAATTCAAGTAAACATAGATGCTTGTGGGACTGAATTTTAATGGATAAACACAGTGTTAGAATGATTATTAAGTGAAGTACGTTTCGGTTTATTTGCATCAAACTTTCATGCCTTATCTTGGTTACTAAACAGATCAGACACCTCTTGATCTAGCCCAAGGTGCAGAAATGAAACTGATACTGGGAGGTAAAACTGGAAAGGTAGGAACTTTTGTATTCATTTAAAATGCTAAGGCTGCCTAGCTGAAGCTATTCCTACCTGAGCTTTAACTTCTGTGCAGGCTATCAACAAACCCCTGAGACGATATGAAGGTCTCCTATGGAAGGTATGTCTTATTTCCTTTTCTAAAATAGCTTATAAGATCTCAAAGTATGTCAGTATGTCCTTTTCTGTACTTAAGTGAGAGCTGATAAATGAGGGAACTTGTCATTTAACAAATGTATTACTGAGTTGACCTTTATCTAGTATATTTGATAAATTATAGATGGGGCTGACTGGGTGGAGCATTTATTAGGTTCATGGCACTCTGATCTTAACCTCAGTCCCTAAAATCTCTTTTTATTTCTTAGTAATTTTTGTGGCAGTGCTTCACTGTGGTAAGGCTTTGTTCCTTGTCTGTGTGGCAGGCAAAGTGTTTTTTTCTTTCCTGAGTAGACGTCTTTAATTGTTAATAATCTGACTAATATTTTGCCAAAAGTTTACCATCTTCTGGAAATTTTAAAACTTAGAGGCAAGATGTCAGCCAAATAGTTGTTTAAAGCTTATTTTGCTGTGATACTCAAGTGAATTTATTCCCCTTTTTAAACAAAAAAGTTTTCTTCAATTTTCTACATAAATGCTTGATTTTTGTTCTGTATGTCTTTAACGTTTTCTTCAGTGTAAATTTTCCTATGTATTCACTCACAATTGTAATGTAAGTAATTGTTTTTAAAACAGAACTATGTACTAAAATTTGTGAAAGGTAAAATGTTGTAGTTGGATATCTCAATATGTTTTGTTTCTCATGAGAGTTTATGAAGTTGTATGGTGATAAACCCCTGTAATATTAAAAAATGCAGCATTTTACTATTTCAGTTCTTAACTGAATAGCAGGCTGAACAAAACTTTTCTCTTTAGGTATCTACAAAGAATAGCAGTGTAATTGTAAAGTGTTCTCAGGTTGCTGTGACCACCAAGATATGTAGGGAAACATTTTAGGTTTTAGTGACTGCCAGTTTTTATGTGGTAGCCTTCAAGCCATCAAACTTACTGTAACTCTTCAGCTGTTAACTTTACCTGGCCTTTTTGGTTTCTTAATTATTTTTTTTAGAGCTCACGATTCTTTGGTTGGAAGCTCTACTGGGTAGTTCTAGAACATGGAGTCCTTTCCTGGTATCAGAGACAGTAAGTTCTGTGTTTAAACTTTTGAAAAGCAATTTAAATAATTCCCATCTTCACTTTTAAAAATCTTTTTCTTTCAAAGAGCTGATGCAGTGAATAATGATCACCGTCAGGGATGCAAGCATCTAACACAAGCTGTCTGCACGGTAGGAAGTGAAATGACTTGTAACCACTGTTTTTCTTTTATGTGATGGTGTTCCACAGCTAGACAATGAAAACTTCAGCTAGGTTGGTAAGGATTCCTTTGTTGTAAAAAGAAAAAGCTTGTGCTATTGTAAGAAACACTGGTTCTTGACAGACAAAGTATTCTTATATGTAAAGTGGCCATAAAGCTCCCTCACTTTTCTGAAGTCCTGAGGATTTAAATAAACATAAGGCTTCCTAAAAGCGTTGTTCTTCAGTTGTGCAAAACAACTGTTTGGAGCATGTGATACAGAATAGCAAAGCTCTAGTTTCTCCTGTAGCTGTCACTGGCTGCTTGTGACTGAATGTGTAAGTTAAGTTGATTTCAGTTGGAGAACTGATTAATTCTGAAGGTGACTTTTGGAAATCTTCCTTTAAATTCAGTTATGCTTGTGGGAATCCCTTTTGGAAGGGACTGACAGAGGGGAAACAGGCTAAGTGTCATTCGTAATACAAAGGATGATGAAGTGTTTAAGGAAAACGCATTTACATTCGTGTCAATACTACTTATTCTATAACTAACCTGTCCTAGTTCTGTAGATTGACACAAGTTCTGTTTTAACTACAGTTATATATATTCTTACTATATGTAAAGTGACTCTTTTCTATATCTGTAAATTCCTTGGTATTGGGGGTCTTGCACCATTGCCGAGATTTTTGCCTAAATCAAGCAGTGCCAGTATATACAGAATAATATTTTGACATAAAGAACCTCTATATTCTTACTCACGATGTAAAATGCAAAACAGCACACTTTGCAAAACTCTTCTGACCAAGCCTTTTTTCAACTATAGTTGTCAAAACTGAGGCAAAAACTCCTGGATTAAGAGTAATTCTGTACCTTGCTTAGTCCGAACAGTTTTGTCTTTTCTTGTTCCTTATATGGATTTTGTCTTTTCTCCACATTGCTTCAGGTAAAATCTACAGATAGCTGCTTCTTTTCTGTCAGATGTTTTGATGACACTGTTCATCGTTTCAAGATTCCTAAAAATAGCCTTCCTTCTCAAACTAGAGAGGTAATAATGACTTTTTATCAAACATTTTAAAATGTTATAACATCTGTAATGACTAACTTGTGTGCCACTTGGCTATTGATGAATTGGTAGTGGGTTCAGTCTCAATCATCAAGACTTGGTAACGTAAATTCCTATATTGAATCTTTTAGTGTGACTATAGACTACATGACAACCTGTCTATTTTTTGCTATTCTCCTCTTTAAAATCAGTACCACCTTGTTTTCCAGCTCTGTGCCTGTATTATGCCCTGTAGTTTAACTTCCTATTTTTCTTAACTTCTCCATGAGGTAAATTTCTATTGCAACTTCCTTCTGTTGCACTTTCTTTCATAGTTTATCCTGAACAAAAGAATGTTTAATGGTACATTCTACTCTTAGCTGTTCTCTAAGATGACCTAATAAATTACATTTTTCTTAAAAGGCGCGTCTGAAAGTAGAGAACTTTTTTAGGGGTATTTGTAGTGTAGTTACTATTTTACTTCTATAGGTGTACAGACTGGAGATGAAGTAGTGGTGGAGGCAACTGGAGTACTGTGTCCAGTTCTGAGCTCCCCACTACAAGGGAAATGTGGAAATACTGAAGTGAGCCCAACAAAGGGCCAGTAAGATGATTAAAGGGACTCAAGCATCTCTAATACTAGGAAAGGCTGAGACAACTGGAACTGCTCAGTCTGGAGAAGAAAAGACTCAGGGGGATCTTGTCAATGTATGTAAATACCTGAAGGGAGGGTGCAAAGAGGACAGAGCCAGGCTCTTTTCAGTGGTGCCCACTGACAGGACCAGAGGCAATGGGCACAAACTGAAAAGCAGGAGGATTCCTCTGAACATGGTGGGGGGGGGGAACTGCAAGGGTGACTAAGCACTGGCACAGGCTGCCCAGAGAGGCTGTAGAGTGTCCATTCTTGGAGCTGCCTGGATGTGGTCCTGGGCAAACAGCTCTAGGTGGCTCTACTTGAGCAGGAGACATTGGACCAAAAGACCTCTGGAGATTCCTTCCAACCTCAGCCACTATGTGGCTCTATAAAAAGAATTTACCTCTTAGTTATGATAGTGCTTGAGGTTTTGTATGGGCTTTGTCATGCATAAGAAGGCAGACTTTTTGCTACACAGATCTTGCTGTCTAAACAGAAACCCAAAGATGTGAAATAAGTTCCCTACAGTCTTTTCCTAATTGATGTGACTTTTTAATGTGACCTTGGATAGACTGAGGTATGGGTGACATTTGTCCTTAAAGCTTGATGAATTAGGTCTTAGCACTCTGTCCACAGAGTATCTCATTTTGAATACATGTTAAAATTTTAACAATATATTTTCTGCTGATTAAGGTGTCTCATTTTACTAATGAATCTCACATAGATAGAAAACTTTGTTGTTTTGCAGGTGTGCTGTTGCCTTCTGGGGATGACCTTTGAAATGTGTATTAACTGTGGGTTTTTTCATTCAGAGTTGGCTGGAAGCAATAGAAGACCACTCTGCATATAGCACTCATTACTGCACACAGGAACAGTTGAGTAGTGATGATGAGGAAGATGATACAGTATCTGTTACAGACCTACAGGATACTCTGAAAGTATGTAGTGAGTACTACTTTGGCTCGTGCATTTAGGCAGTTGCAGATTAGTATTGTTCGGTATTGAAATACTTTAGTGTACTTTTAGCTAAAAGTAATGATTCTTTCTGTGGATGCATAAATGCTGCTTGTATTTGCACTGCTTACTGTTGTGTATTCCTGTTTGGACTATATGCATAAAATGACATGTTTATCATAGCTAAAAGGTGGTGGGTTTCAGTTTTACCAGTACTACTGCAAGGTAGAAAGTGGCTTGAGACTTTCAGCCAGGAGAGGGAGCCTTGTGTACTGTACTTGGTGACACCAAGACTGGAGGATACCAAAGCTAACCTTCTGCGAGCTCTACCTCTATAAAACAGGCAAGGAAATGGCTTAGAAATCCTTTAACACTTCAGGTCACATTAGGTGCATTGTACAGCAATTGTTCAGACCTGCAATGGAAATAAGTCGTCTTTGATAAATCTAGCATTCAATCTGTGATTCTTGCTTTTTGGCATACATGTATTTCTAAAGCCTTTCACTCCAAGGGAAAGCTGATACTGCAACACAAAAATCCGTATGTGACTGAAGTCTAGGTGGTTTGTACCATACCTTTTGGTGCAAGAACTCAAAGTACCTCATGGTAGAGCAGAGATATGAGGATAACTGGTGCTGGCAGTTCCCAGCAGCCTACAGAAGATGATGTCATTATCTAATAGATAAGTGTCTCCAAGTTCAAATGCAGGTTTGGAATATGATCTTGGGATGGTTTCCTGCATGTCACTGTACTTGCCATATGTCAGTTAACTTATGCATTTGCTTAAAGCTCAATGCTTTTGACCTTAGGTTTGTCAAAGAACAAGCAGTGGCTCTTCCAGGTTTTTAAACTTTTTCATACTTTTTCATGTAAAAGGTGGGAACTGCAAAAGTGGTACATAATATATAGCTTTGGTATTTGTACGTAAATCTTCTGTTTGTTTGTGTCTTTGAAGGTACTTCAAGTAGTTCCTTTCCATTTAAATGTATTAGTCTCTGTCACTGGGAACCTTTGTTAAGATTTAATGTTCTCCAAATTAAAAAATTTCAGTATAGTTAGGAGAATAAACACACTTTTCTTACAACAAGGCACTTCTGAACTGGCTATCCTTGCTGTCTTTCAGAAAGCACAAGCATGCCAACAACGACTGAGTAAAGAGATTTCAGACTTTCTTGCAATGGTTAAATCTTTGGATGCTACAAAAGGTAAAACTTAGTCTTTGAAAATGCAGTTTGTTACCAGGCAACTAATTTTTTCTTTTAAGCAGCACTTGCCCTAGTTTCCATGAAATTAAATTTTCAGTAGCTTGAAAATAGGACTGTTTTCCTCATTGAAAAAGTTTTAAATAAAGTTGATTGTTAAGAACTAAGATTTCAGATTTGGAGAAACAACTAAGTACATTGATTGAAAGAAATTTTATTCGTGGCTGTAAAGGTAGTGAAACTGCCTTTAGATACAGCATTTACTGAGTAGTATTGTAGGAATATAATTAGGGGTTCACTTTCAAGGTTTTAAAAGATCTGTAGCTGGTAGCTTATTGCAGAGCATAAGTGTCTCCTGATAGGTACAAAGAGTTAGTTATCTTACTCTAGCTTTCGCCTCAAAACACTTGTCTTGTAACTTGTCTTGTAGTGAGTAGAAACACAAGAAGCTGAGGCATGATAAACTGAATGTGGATTGAAATCACAAAACTATACAGAGGGAACTGGAGGTGTGGTATGATGGAATATATTCCACAGACTTCTGCCATGAGTTTTACGCCAGATTTCAACTTCTTGGGCTTCATTTAAAATAGTAACTCTTAATTTAATGTGTACCTGGATTTTTGCAGCATAACTGCCAAAAAATAGCACAGACATCGAGCTGTTACAGATTAGAACTCGTTTGAACTGAAACACATACAGAAGTTGCTCATGTATTAAACACAAGAGTTCTGTAAGAACATTTAACTGTTGCTCCTTTGAACCTGAGTCCTAGTTATACATTATGACTAAAATTTATGAAGCTTAAATGAGCAAGCAAGTTGTTTATCTGTAGAAATCCATAGTCTGTAATAGAATATCACTTTTGGGAGGAAAAAAAGTTCTTCCTCTTTCATCCCTGTACCTTTCCAAAAGGAGTCTAAAATACAGCTTTTTCTTCATATGCTACTGGGGTAAGTTATTGAATGATGTTAACCTATCTTTCGCTAACCAGATTTTTACTAAATTTTTATTTCATAAAGAAAAGTTCCATAATATATATGAGTGTTTTATTGGGAAGCCTTCATGATTGTACAATAAAACTGATTTCTTAATGAAAAGCAGTTTGAAAATAAGTATGAGGTGGATAAATGAGGTGTAGGGTTAGTTTCTCTGACCCCATATTGCTGACCTGAAGAACCAGTGAGAATGCCTCTTTTTTTAAATACACAACTTGAGTGACAAAAACCCATAATAAAGTCAAAACAGATACTTTCTCTTTCTTAGAAACTGCTAGTCTTGGCCAATAGCAGTGTTAAGTTCCTATTTTCCTCCCACTGAATGTTTGTAACTTCATGGGTCAGTGAACTGTTTCCAGGTTTATGTGTAACCTCTAAGTCTCAGGAAACTACTGCAGCTCTCCCATTCTCACATTGGGTTGATGTGGTATCTTGAAAATATTTGAGTCCTCTGGCTTCAGAAGAATGCAGATTTCTGAGTTAAAAGTCCTTCCATGTGGAACTTCTCCTAAAAGCTTTTGAGTAATATAAAAATGCTTATCTTGCGGAGCTGATCTTAAAATTCTCTGCCTAACTCAACATGCTATTCTAAATTCGGGTATCTGAGATTTATGCATATTATTTATTACCAGTAAAGATGTCTCTTGCTCCTGCACTGTGTGGTGCCCCTCTTTCTTGAGGTGCTAGCTGTTCTTGATAGCTGCTGAAGTAGAGACTTCTAATTCCAGTCAGTAGTGAGCTTTGGTATGAAAGACAACAATTAGTGTGGATATGTACTGTAACTTGTTCTGGACAAGCAATATAAGCTGCAAAATAAATTCAAGAACTGTCACTGCCAGACATCTTAATCTTTATTGATGTGACATCAAGTTGAAGCACCAGTGTTACTAAGGTGTCAGCTGCTCCTGGAATCTGTGGCTAGTAAATGAACAGTTATTTTAATGGCAACAAGTATGCTTCCTCAGAGAATGGCTTGCTTGACTTCTGAGGAATTGCTGCACATTACAACTTCAAAGATGAACTCAAATATTAAATAATTTCTACCAGCCGATTGAGTTGTCACGGTTTCCTGCTGGTTCTAGACAGTAGCTCCTTCTGTAAACAGTCACAGAAGTCAGGATGTGAGGTGGCACTGCTCTACAAGCTGTACTACTTATCCAGAAGAAGAGTGCACAAAAGTAACATCTCCTTCTCCTTTTATTGATCAGTGTTCTTGTAACTCCTCATCTATTTTCAAACCTAAATCTCTAGCTGAATGTGGTAAGCTTTTTTCTTCTACATAATACCACAGCAAAAGGCAACAAAAAACCCCACATTTCTCATTTTAACTTATATTAAACCAGTGCAGTATCCTTTGTATTTGAATTCTGTCATCTGGCAACTCTGAGGCTTTTAAATCCTAGAAAGTGGTTAAAAGGTGATTGCTAGTAGCTCTTCCAGTGTCTTGCTGCCATAGCTTACTACTTCTGCTTTCTAAACCATGCTGAAAGAGAAACTTGATCCATTCATGTGCCACTTATACCAGTACTAGGGAAAGGATGCAAAAGAACAAATTTATGTTCCTTCAGTGCTACTTTTGCTTCCCCTTTCCTCACACAGATCTTACAGTGCACCAGCCTTCCTGTAGAATATGAATATTGTATCTGTTACTTTGAGGAAAAAATAATTTAAAAAATCCTGTAGCTTACAGTGTCCCCCTAATGCTCCTAATCTTTGGTGCTTTCAGGAATATCTTCTCTCCTCCTGCAAAAAGTTGATGCAGTCTCCGAAGTATCCCAGGAAACATGTGAGGCCCTGGCTGACTGTCTCAACCTATTCACAAAGCAAGAAGGGGTATGTATTGTGCTTCATGAGTCCATAAATGGTTTGAATAGTTTAGTATATTCTACTAGTTCCCTGCTTACCTGTTACAAAAATGAATGCACATACCCATAGAACTTTGTATTGTTGGTAAGCTGTCCTTTTGCATGCTGAATATCTGAAGAAAACTCATGCTTCTAGAGAAAGAGTAGCTAAGTTCCTCTACGAAAGGATATCTTAGTATTTCAGTGTACAGAAGAGACTCAGATTTTGCTTATGAACTAATGCTTGTAATATTCAAACTGAATGCTTGAATTCAAAAAAGCAGTTGCTTTGCTGATTCGAAGGTTAAAATACTGAGAAAACTCATGTCTTTTTTTTTGTACTAACTAAAGTGTTGAACAGTATTGCTTCTGAATTTGTTTTTCAGACCATGTGCTTAGTGGGTGTGTGAATGCTATCTATTGAACTTCTGGCTTTCCCAGTGACAAATATCTTGTATGGTGTTAAACATAATGCAAATGCTTCTATTTGGGATTATATGTCAAACTCATTAATTCCTGGGGTGAGAGGTCTGGTATTTTTCTCCCCTCTAGAAGATAGCCAAGTACCATGGAATAGATGTGTTTTCCTGTATTGTGGTAACAGTAATTCCTCAGTCAGGCTCTTGCTGTCATCAGTACGCTGTGTTTCAAAATGAAGTTTGTGTTGGTGCTGTTAGTCTTCCAGTTATTTAACAGTGAGCTGCAAACACTGGCTCCATTGTCTAGGTTTGGTTTAAGATTTTTTCATTCTCTTCCAAGCCTTTTTGTCTCCAGTCACAAGTCTTCTAGACTTACTTTTTTCCTCTCTGCTAGAGCTTGACTAGCATTGCTTTTCTACATTGATTTTTTTTTTTTTCAAGAAAATCTATTATTAATCTAGCATTGCTTTTCTACATTGATTTTTTTTTCAAGAAAATCTATTATTAAAGTTGCCAGTTCCATTTGTGGATGAGGGGGAAACTGTTACAACAGTGGGTGTATAGTGTTAGTTAGTATTCCTTAATTGTGTTGGCATCTTGCTTCACACCAGACTAAAATAGCTTTCCAGAGTGGAGTATGGCAAAACATATGGTGAAATTATAATTTCACCTTACTTAAACTTGAACAGTCTCAGTAGGTGTTGTAAAGGCCTTATTTTAAGCTAGAAGCACATAGATTTGGGCACAGAGGAATAGGCTGAGGTGTGAACTTGAATTTCCACCATAGCTAGTGAATCAGTCGGTCATGACAGGCAGAAGATGTGATCTTGAAGAGTTTTATCTCCTGGTATTTGTAAACTTCAAGCTATTGCAATTCTGGAATATAGTGCAGGCTTTTAAAGATGCCATAAGCTCACAAGGGAGCAGCAATCTCTACTCAAGACTTGAACCTTTCCAAAAAGTTATGTTGATTGAGCATTACTGTTAAACACGCAGCATTTGGGTTTGTTCTCTTCTATGAGACAGAGCCCTGTTCTTTACCACTCGATGTTGATTTCTAGGCTGTAGTTCTGTTGGCAATCCAAAAGCAGTTCTGCATTAGCAAGTGATAGGACCCCAAGTAAATGCTTTAATAATCCTTCCAAGTATATTGAATGCTAAAGCATAACTCTAAAGTATCACACTCTAACATAAAAACACTTGTCTAAAATACTCTAGAATAACTCTAAAGTATCACACTCTAACATAAAATACTAAAGTCTAGTATATACTAAAATACTAGAGTCTAAAATACTCTAGAAAAAAATAATCTTTTTAGCATTTGTTTCTCTTCTGTTCATCATCTTAACAACAAAGTTAAGGCTTAGGTATTGCAAATGTTTGGGAGCAACTGCCATGAATGCTCTGCTCTGGCAGTAATTGGCAGCTAACTTAAAACTGCCAAACTGCCTTCAGGAAGGATGATTCTACAACTGTTGTTCAAAAGCAGCTTTCCTGCCTGTCCTGCTTTGTCCAGGCCTCTGCAGTTGTCAGTGGGGCTGTTTGAACCTGCAGCTTGTCTTATGGGGACTCCCTGGTAGATCTTCTCTTGTATTGCATGTGTTCCAGGACCTCTGGTTCTCTCTAGAACGAATGTGTTCTCAAGTCTGGAACCTCTTTATCTTGCCTCTTTATGGAGAATTCTTTTCCCGTCTAACTTAAACTGTCAGCATGCCAGAAGCCATTGCTTGACTAAGGAGGAGTGGCTGCTGACTTAAGTAAGGAGAACCACAGCAAACACACTTTTTGTCTTTTTGAGAAGGTTATTTTTTAGTATTGCCCATCTCTGTGCTGGGTAAATTGTGCATAATTATGCAATATGCAAATGAAACTGCTAATACAGCCCTAAAGAAGAAAAGATACAAAAGTTCAACTCTCTTCCACTTGTTTTAGAAATAGTGCAGGAGCGTGACACCCAAATGCTCCGTCTGCTGCTTCTCCCTCGGTGCCGCC